TTAGACTAATAATTTGACTTCGATGTTGAGTTCACATTACACAATTTCAACCCTTTTTTTCAATTGCTGAATTGAAATTCCAGCTTTCCCAGAGGAAACTGTCTGGGAATTAGATGCAAGCAGGTTTTTGGAGAAAAGAGCCATAAATTTTGACTGAATGCCTTCTCAGCTGTAAGGGCTATGGATCTTCATGACAAAATCATTGGATCTGTGTTAAGGCCTCTTCTGACAATTACAAAATATGTTCCCAATTTTGGTTGATCTTTAAAAATGATCTTCCCATCTTATGTTCTGATGTGTGGTATGTATATACAAATAGTGACTGCCCTAATTTGGAATTGTAAGTCCAACCCCATTTCTGAAAAAGTTGGGACAAAAATGTAAATGCAAAATGTAAATAAAAATTGAATGCAATGATGTGCAAATAATTTCCCTGAAAAAGACATAATCTAGATGGCAGCATGTCTTGCTCTAAAACCTGTATATGTACTGTTCAGCATTAATTATGCCTTAACAGATGTGCAAGTCACCCATGCCATCTGCACAAATGCACCCCTCTATACCATCATGGGTGTTGCCTTTTGGACTGTGTGTTGACAAAGGGCCAGATGGTTTTAGCCCAGAGGACACAGCATCCATGATTGATTTCACTTCACCTCCGTCCATCTTAAATGAGCTTGAGCCCAGAGAAGGTGTCTGCATTTCTGGATCCTGTTTGTATATTATTTCTTTTGAGGTAATCAGTTTCCTCAATTCATTTTAATTGACTTAACTCATCATGTTTTACAGAGTGTAGGATTTAAATGATTTGAATATAATTGCATTCTTTTTTATTTACATTTTGCACAGTGTCCCAACTTCTGTGGAAACAGGGTTGTATTAAACATGTTCAGCCTCAACACAAAATCCTATATTGGGAGGTGTTTTCCAATTGCCCCATCACATGTGGAAAAGCTGAAAAACAATGAGTGCTAAGCTGAACAGATATTGAGCTAAATGGAAGGATCATTTTATTTTATTAATTATCTTTGTTTTCTTTTGCCTTTTTACTGCAACATGTAGAAACAACTAGCACAGCAATCTGCCTCAAAAAGTGTAAGAATAATCTGAAAATCAGTAATGTATGGTTAGCCAAATCTTATACTGCCGGGGCTTTGATGACAGAAGGATGACCAAGCAAAGATAATTCTAAGGACTTTCTCATTAAATGTGCAGTCTCTCACTTTTTCATCATCAGGTAGGGTTTTATAAATTCTCCGTACTCTACAGAATTTCTGTAACTTCTACAACAATATGATGTGTTCAAGCCAGTAAGATTATGTATGTAGTTCCATTCTTCTGGGTGACATTCTATATGTGGCCAATTGGCTGATAAATAATAACTGAATCAAGTGTTAAATGAATGCAAATTTCAACAAACAAACAAATTTATTATATACAAAATGATATAATCACCATCATTTAGTCACTGGCCTACTGTTTTCTCCTTTGCTCCTTCACAGTGTTCCAGTGCAATTCTTTCAATAATAAGCTTCTTCTGAGCAGTCAATCATAATTTATTTTATCAATAGAGATTATCTTCCCACTGCCTATAGAGGACATTGTGACTTGTAGACTAGTCATAAAAGAGGACAATGTGCATGACACTTAAAACACTCTAAATCTTACCTTTCTAGAAGAGCAGCCTCTGTGTAGAAAGAAATAGAATTTAATCAGAAATGAGCAATATGATTCATGATGTTAATTTTGAGCTAAAAAACATGTGAACTAAAAAGGAGGTCTGTACCTTCCATTAGTTTGCTGTATTCCTGCTTTAGCCAAGAGGTGTAGACTGGATCTAGACTACAAGGAAAAAAAGACTGTCAATCGATACAATCAAATCTTACATACTTGTTGAATAATGATCTAAATTCTGTTCTTTCAAAATATACTTTTACAACTCTGATAGTTCCACCTGGACCAGAAACACACAATAACTTCTGTTCTTTTCTTACAAGCATGAGGCTAAGCACTCAGTGTAATAATATATCATCTGTCAAGTTTATTATCAACATGATAGTAAACTTGACATTATGCCTGCAAGATGAGTAGCTCTGTAGTTGGTGAAGAATCAATTACTGGGAGATCAGACATCTACAGTATTAATGAGTAAAGTATCTGAATGAAAATTGTACCTGATTTCTATTTAAGACTTCTAACTGACTGGCACATTTTTAGACTGCTACTGCTACTCAGATATACTTTCAAAATGGCTGACAAGGATTTGTAAGATGAACGCTGATGAGCAATAACAGTAACATCAGTCACTTTGCCTTTGGCCTAAAGCTAATAATGCCTTTTTGGTATCACAGCAGACACAGAAACTACTTGATGATGATTTTTAAGGCTTTCTGAATATAGTGTATATGCTCAACATTTGCATGATTGAAAGGTGACCAAAGGTTCAACATTTAAATTACATGAAAGATAATTCTTTTACCAAAGCTAAGAAGAAAAATAAGGTGCTAACAAATGGAAAAGCGAAAGTAAAACTGAACAGCAAACAGTTTTACTTTCCTTTTTTCATTTATGTGCAATGCTTTATAACCAAAGAGGGGGGAGAGTTACATAAGGCATGGGCAAAAATGAAGTTGTAAAATATAAAGCATAGAAGTGACAAGCAACGTATGGACAGCCATGCGCTGAGACAGACTTTAAGTTGATGAGAAATACTATATAGGCAAATACTAGAGGGGTTGTAATACTGAAACATAAACCTTTTATACAGCAGACCTATTCTTTAATTGTTAAAGGTAAGACTATTTATTTAGTTACTAGTAACATTTATTCAGTAACTTCCACGAAATGAAAGAATGTATGTAGTTAGGACAGGAAGGAAATAAATTGCAGGCCTAATGGAACCTTAGAGTTTGAGGGGTTAATAATTAAACTGCGTAAGCGGACAATAGTACAAATGGACTGTGCAGGCTAATACATATAAAGACATAATGGTAAAAGTGTGAAAAAAAAAGTGTTGACGCAAAGTTCTTGCTCACATTTAGTGGGTTACATGCAAGATAATGATTTCATATATTTATATGGGACATCAACCTTAAAACAAATGTTAAACATTACATTAAATTGATCATACCTTGTTATGTCTCCTCAATAGTTTTCATATCAGTAGATATTCAAATTGAAAAACAACCTTATCAAATTTGAGTGATGGACATAGCTACGTTAGGCCTCCCTTGAATCTGGCATTGTTGCCTACAACCTCCTCAGACCTGCTTTTAGCACAAATGCAAGTGCAAAATATGTTGTTTTCCGACTTTAAGCACAAGTACGTCCAGTTTATTACAATACCTTTCTGTAGCTGTACCATATTAATATCACCAACTTCAGTATAAATAGCAGTTTCACCCAATTACTTATAGTCCTTGGTTATGTAGTTCATTATCTTTACTTTGTTTCCTTTTTTAATCATTGATATGTCTTGTCTGTTGCTGCCTGCATGTGTGTTGACTAGGGGCGTTGGCTGGCCTTGTAAAGATCCAGGACTTAGCTCAGTTTTCTGTAAGCTAATTTTGGTGTACCTGCCCCTAAAATATTTTTAGTCAATTTATAAAAAGTAAAATGTTTAGTTTTTAGTTCAATGAGGATTTTAGTTGTTTGTTTTTAGTTTAGTGAGGATCTACTCATCAACAAAACTTTCAGAAATTCAGCGTTGATCACTGTATACAGAACATAAGAAAATAAGTGAAAACCCAGCTTGTAACAGAAAATAAAAAATTGTCAAAACAGAGATTTCCCCACTAATGCCATTCTGAAAGTCCTCTCCACATTTCTTCTCTTTCTATATCAAACAGCTCTTCTACACTCTTCTCAAATCAAGGTGTTATCTAACGCTAAAATATGTTGACTATCAAAAATCGGTCAGCTGTAATCATTTGAACATGCATGTATTTAATGATATAGATGAGTGATATGACCAGTGTTACAATTAGAGTTTGTTACATTGTTGAAGTGATCTGTTGCAAATAAAACATTATTTCAACAAACTCAGTCAAAATCTCAAAGATTAAGCCATTATTTTGACATAATCAATCAAAATCTTGAGAAAATAAGCCATTACTGGAACATATTCAAAATCTGTAGGAACTTAGCCACTATTTTGACATAGTGAAAATCACAAGAAAATAAGCTATTATTTCGACATGATCAGAGAAAATCTTATAAGCCATTATTTCAACAGTCAAAATCGGACAGGGATAAAAGAGCGCACTTCATTTGATGATTGTGATTGGTGACTGACCAATGGTGTTGTTATGTATGTAGCTAATGATTGAGAGTTGTATGTTCTTTGGTATATGTTATACATTGTTTTGGGAATTTCATTTAGAGTGCTGAGAATGAGATTAGCAAATAAGAAAGCAAATGAGAAATACATTTTAATATTTATTTTACTAATTAATTTAGTATTTAATTTATAGACATGCTGAACGTAGTCCCTGGTGATTACTGCCTCCTGCTACATCCAATGGCAGACAAAACACATATAAACTTAAATAAACCAGTTAAAAGTTCGTAGTAGTTACACATTTTATGTGCTCCTACAAGTAGAATTTGTTTTGTATGTCATGATCAGGAAGAAGTTTGTTTACACACCATTACTACACCAAGAAACTATTTTTTCTCACAAGCACTAGGCTAAGTGAACAGATCCCTTTGTTAGCAATCCATGTTTAACATAGCAGAAAGCTTGACATTGTGTTACATTCCAGAAAGTAACATCTTAACAGATTGTGGAAAATATTGCACGGCCAAGAAAACCATTGATGAAAAAAGCATATTAGCAAACAGTAGCCCTTACCTTCTGAGCTCCATTTAAAAACATTTAATGGAACACTTTTCAGGCTGAGTGTGACGAATGATATGACACCTTCAAAATGCCTGGCATTGGTTTGAAAGATCATGGTTGTTGGGTTTGTCAGCAGTGACGCAAGTCATTTGACTTTAAAAGATAATAACGCCCATTGGGAATCACAGACTAAAGAGAAACTGCATTAATTATTACTACATTAATCAAGGATTTTGATTATAAAGACTTCTAAGCATAGTGTATACTGTCAACTTTTGTTTAAGATTTAAAAGGTTACTAAACCCACTATTCTTTTAGCAAAAGCTAAAAGCTAACTTATATCTTATAAGTTTTACTTTCCCTTTTGCACTTCTTAAGAATGCTTGGAGAGAGGAAAAACAAGTCCAGCAACTTAGGACAAATGACAAATTGTTCCAGACAGATTTTCAAAGTTGGAATTTATAAGTTTTTTAGTGAAAACTGAAAAATGCTGCTTGCATTAGTATTCAACCCTTTTAGTCTAGTGCTGGTACTGGTGGTAGAACCTGGACACTGTTTGTTAGCAATTTTGTACCCATACATCCTGGCAGATTTGTTCCGAGTTGTTCAAACTGCTAATGCTTCTTTGAATAGACACAGATTCTCAATTGGATCCATCCTTCAACCTCCACCCATTGTTCCATTTGGCTTTAGATAAAATACATGAATATCATCTGTATATCTGTCACATGTGATGTCCAATGCAAGCAAAGAGACAGACTGTATTATTCAAACCGATTAACACAACCATTGTGCAGTACTGTGCAAATTTAACTATGTAAACTAAACATATATAAAGTTATTTTTGATATAATATCATATTATATATAATATTAATATATAAAATTATATTATAATATTTAAGTAAAATGTGGATTTGTTTGTCCGTAGAACAAGTCTTTGAAAAGAGCTCAATGTCAAGCCCTGGTTGATGTAAAAGTTACATGGTCATAGTATATAACATTTACATAAAGCAAGACAACTCATGAATGTTATATTTATGCCAAATATAACAAGTGTTTTCCTTATACACTTCTTTAATGTTTGCTAACATTACGGTCATTTCTAACTGTAAGTATGTAATGTAATTAGCCTTGGGCTAATGTGAACAATTCCATTCTTCGTGTCATTTTCCTACTGGACTCCAATTCCACACTGATGCTCCAGGTCATAACCCCTCTTCAGCCACTTGAACGGCAACTGAAACAACCAAGAATTAGAATAATGAAGATAGGCTTACTGTCATAGAGTACAACGAGCTCCATTGACCTCAGTATACTGATAAACTCTCGCATTTAAAAGTTATGAAAACTGTAAATCCATTATGCTACCATAGTTCCAGCTCTACCATTACTGTGTCCAGGTTGAGTGATGTTGACATAGACAGCCATATAAACAGGGTAATCATTTTTAAAATCTGCAGCATCAAATCTAAAGTCGATGTTTGGTGCTACTCTTGGGTTATCGACGTACAGGACCCATCTACCCTCCAGGTTGCAGCACAAGACCATGTGCTCTGTTGGCTCTCTCCTCTTCCATGGAAGCAAAAACTGCAGCTCAAATGTTCTGAGAAAGAAATGTGTATCATATCAATGGCATTTTTTAAAAAGGTGCAATATGAAATACTTGCCAAAAGATAATCAGAAAATATATTTTGTATGCATGCTTTTTATTTTCTCATTACCTGCCATATTTTTATGTGATATGAAGTGGGGGAGCTGTGTCCATCCAGCCATCTACATTTATGAATATGAGGCAGGGGTCTCCATATTTACCCAAAGTCATCACATCTCCATAGGGCTGGAACACACTAAGAATCAACACAGTTTTTTTACACATGTATTACACATATATTACACATTTATTAGCTGTTATATTAGACATTATATTTGTTTACATTAAGATTGTGAGAGAGAGCAAACATGGTGGGTAAGAAATATTCACCGTAGTATGCTTTCTTGTAAATGATCAGAAGCTCCATAAATGGCTCTGCTTTCAGACAACTGGTCTCTCGAACTAGCCAGCTCTTGAAGCATTGGCAAATGCTTTACCTCACTCCAAACATTAATTACCTTAGACATTTTGAATTTGCAGTCCTCAGATATGAGATTTAACCCAATCAGCCAAAGAACTTTGGCTTCATTTTTTTTTTTTGCATCTACAAATATCATTATTGCATTCATTGTAGGGTTGGATTGGAAAAGTAGTTTAATTTGTTTAAATTTGGTATAAAAAAGATGAAAGCCAACTAGGAGTGAGTCAAGAACGCATGTGTTTTTTGCCTGATATGGACCATAGTGACCACCAGCTTTTATATAGCTCCTCCACTCTTCCATCATGAGTTTCTTCAAGTTAGGAAAATATCTGCAGAGATGAAATCAAACATATGAGATGATTTGTAGGTCTGTTATCTTAATTATAGTGTTAAAAGACAGCCCATATTGAGTGGTCAGATTTTGAAAGTCAATCTTCGCACTAAGGATCATGACATATATACACATTTGTAATATTATTTAATCAAAAATATTAAATGCTCCTTTATTTTATCAGCATTGACTTGCCTAGTATTTTTGCCTTGGTCTGCATCAGCATCTGATAACATACACCAAAACACATAGACACACATGTAGATATTCGACCATCAGTGGAAACATCTGGAACAAACATCTCTGCTGTGAAGTAATCGTCCAACTTTACCTTTAAGCAGATGTACATACACCTGCAGTAACACATCGCGGTCGATCTCTCTCCAGCCGAAAAATGAAAAAACTCAGGATATGATTTTTGTGCTGGAATTTAAATAAACATTATTATTAGTAAAATGTTGCCATTTCTGAGATTATTTTCACTGTCCTCTCACACAGTACTGAAATACACAGTCAGGATTGTAAACATTTCTGCCTAGACTTGCCCTGACATATTTTTACTCTTCAGGTTAGTCTTATCTCACTGACTAATATACAGGAACTCTGTTACGTAACTTACAACCACAAAGCAATTCACACAGCGCGCCAACACTGCAGTAAAAGTTTTCTATGCAGTGTCGCAGAGAATAACTGATAGTTTCTCATTAGTTGATCAAGACAACAAAAAAAGAGAAGCATTTTAAACAGAGAGTCTCCTTTTTGATGAGTCAGCTCACCAATAAGAGCCAGCTGTTTTGGCGCCAATAAACTTCTCTGCCAATAAGCCAAAATCTGTTCTATTATTACAAAGAATTGTTTAGTTTATCCATCAATAAAGTTAATGAGGATGAAACTGAGAAATTAAGACAAATCTTTTTCTACCTTTTGATGAGTATAACACTCTTTTGCATTGTCTTTTAAATAGAAATTGTAAATAAATGTAAAACATCGAAATAATACACATTCAAAAAAGGAATTTTTAGTTAAATAAATTCCAGAATAAATTAAAATTTTAGTTCCAATAACTTCCATGTTTATTATGGAATTTCTTTAACTAAAAAGCTTTCATTTCAATGCAAATTATTTGCTTCAACAATTCTTTTATGTTGACCAATTCAAAACAAATCACACTCAAGTATAAAACTATAGCTACAACAAATGTGTTGTTCTTCCAAAAAAGTATCTCCATTTTTTCTACATCATTTGATTTCAGCAGCTGTTTAACCCTTTAAATTGTGTCAAAATGATGACACATTCATGATGAATTGACCAACAGAAAAGAACCAAAATGGTTCACCACTTTAACGTACATTAATAGAAAAGATCATACTACAATAATGTGATATTTTAGGTTAAACAGTTGAAGAATCCAGGAGCCGAGTTTGATTAACAGGCTTGTACAAAAATAATTGTGATGTGATGATAACTGCATTACCATAATACTACAGTCATGTGATGCCCACTGTGGGTTCGGCTCATTACTATCACCACTTTTTTTATTAATTTATGATGATTATTTATTTTGGATATTTTTGTATTTATTTATTTTATTTATCTATTTATTTTTGCTGGTGAACATTGAAGGAGTGCATATGGTGTGTGATATGAAATATAAGCACAATAGTAATTATTTAGTTATCATTACTGAATGTCTTCCATCCTATCTTCAAGGGATTCTGGAGAAACAAAACGTCTCAGTTGCTGGTAACTTCAGCTTTGCGCATGAGGGGGAAGAACAGTACATTAAACTTATGGGGGTTTCTTTTATGTGTGTCTGATTATTATTGATCATTTCCAGGCTTGAGTACTTGTGACATCTGCTAATAATGTTTAATTGAACAGACACACACAAACACACAATACACAGATATAAAAGACAGACGCGTAATGTAAACACTTGGAGTTAGATTTTAATTGCCAGTGCTTCTAGCAAACACACTTCTCTTATGTGGTATTGCCCAAACAGTTGATGCTAGCCGGTTGTCATTATTTGATTCAACAATGGCAATGAATCTAGTTTCTAAGCCAAATGTTATGTCACCAATTTGGGCACATTTTTTCTTTGAGCAAAATGACAAGGGGCAGCCAGGGAACTTGGATGAGGATTCTGCTGGGAGCAGTGCTAGTTGTACTGTCTAACAGCAGCAGGAAGGAAGGACCTGCAATAGCCTCCTTCACACTAACAGTCTTCACTTGCAGTGAAGCAGCCTGTCACTGAAGGAGCTGCCCAGTGCTGCCAGAGTGTCGTGCATGGGGTGGGAGCTGTTCTCCAGCATGGATGCTAGTCTGGCTAACATCCTCCTGTCTCCCACCATCTGCACAGGGTCTAGGGGGCTTCCCAGGACAGAGCTGGCCTCCTTAATGAGTCTGTCAAGTCTCTTCCTGTCCGCAGTTGAGATGCTGCTGCCCCAGCAGACAACTCCATAAAAGATGGCTGATGCCACAACTGTGTCGCAGAATATTTGTAGATTTGTAGGTGTATCCATATAAAGGATCAGTCTTGTGAGGAAATACATCTAATCTGGCTCAGGAGGAGACCTTAGGCCAGCAGTGACAGTTGAGAGTGTCCAAGGCCTTTGTGAGAGGAGTGAGGTACAACATGATGGCACCACAGAACAGGTTTGATTTTGGCTTTTTATCACTCACTCTACTTTTACTCTCTCAGACATTAGGTTTTTATCTTGTAAACTTGTGTCCGCAGACCAGCAGTTAGTGAGAATCAGGCCTTTACTGTGGTGATTGCACCATTTGGTTCTGTAACCTGCTCGCTAAGTTAACATTAAGTTTAACATTAGGCCAATCATGCATCCAATCACCACAGAACTGGTTAATTTTGACCTTGAGCGTAAACTGCCAAGACTGCTTCTTCACCACAGTAAGAAAAAACCTTACCATCACAGTTCTACAAGAAATACAGTCCAAAACTCAAAGACATGTGAAACATGCAAAAGGTCTGTAATCAGAAAGGCAGTTCAGAACCAGGCATGACGGTCCAATGACAATTTTAGCAATATTTCACAAACTGGAGGGGGAATGGAGAGGAATTTAAAAAGAGACTAAAGAAGGGGAAAGTTTCTGTAATTGTGAGTGCTTAAGTATAACCTTCATCACAGTTAGTCATGATGAGGACCTCTGGTGGACAGAATGGACAATAGCAGGATGTGACACATAATTTGCTGATAAGTTGGATCAGACTGGGGACAACCTGAAACTGTTCAGGGCAGTGGAGCTGAAAAGCCATGACATAAATCATCATGATAAAAAATGTAACTAATGACAACAAACCTACTCTAACTCTTTTCCAGTGTAAGCATTGTAGGGTGTGCTTATCTTCATTTTCCAAAAATGGCCCTTTAGATTTGTGATTCAGCTGAATTTCAACAAATAAGAGCCCACTTGTTTGCATAGGATGCATCAGTAGGTGGATGTGCAGTGTGAGATGCCAAAATACAGAATTCTCTGTTAAAATACAAGAAGTGAGCTCTTCATTTAGAAACAAATAAGTTGTTTATTCATGCAGTCTTATTCAAACCCATGAATTACTTGACAATATTAACAGATGTGGCATGTATTTCCAGGGGAAAGTAGGCATCATGGCCCCATCCTCCAAACACCACCATCATCATGCAGCTGATCAAAGAAGTATGCATCACCTAGAAATGCTAACATGGCTGACGCAGCATTTACCATGAAGCAGTTAGTACACAATTAAGGTGTATTTAATTAATAAATTTGTCACCAACTAAACTATCAGGTTACAGCATACTGAATTAGTAATTACTCAGTAAAAAAGTAATAGCTAATGTTTACCAAACAGTTAACTAATCTATAAATATGTAATTAATTAGTCATTAGCAAGTACCTGTAAATATCATTTGATTTGCCATTTATTCAGTATTTTAAATTGGTTTGAGTAGCCCAGGGTCTCCTGAAAATAACAACATATGGCATGTGTGACTGTCTCATGTAATACTTTATAAATGCAATTGTGATATTTTTATCCCAAATTATCCTAGGGTCCTAAGGGCTAATGGGGATGGTTTTGGTGGTCTACCAGGTCTTTCACAGTTGTTAAGAGTCTCATATTCTCTGTATCTTTGGTGGGCAATAAAATTTAGAATGAGTGCCCAACTTTGCTGGTCAACTCCATGTACTGCTTTAGCATAGTTGCTGTAGTAGTAAGTTCAGGGTCTTTGTCTTGCTGCAAGATTAAGCACCAGTCAAAGAGGTTAATAACACTTGAACTGGATGTGAACTGGATCTGAGCTGCTAAGATGTTTCTGTTCACTTCAGAAATCATTGTTCTCTCTGCAGTCACATCATCACATTTCTTTACAAGTGATTCAGCTCTGCAGCTGTACATGCTCATATCTTTATTGGTGTAATTTCTGGTCAGGATGGGGGTGCTAGGTTATGCCTTGATCTACCAGACTACCATTGTTAAGCTCCATTACTGCTTTTTATCACTGCACCAATCGATTAATTTATAAATATGCTGTGATTATGTCTATGATTTTCCATCTTCTTAAAGACTTCCTTTCCTGACATTGACAATTTCTTAGTCCTTATGTTAAGAGGAACATCCCACATCAACTCTAGTCCTCTAGTACAATAAAACCAATCAATTATTGTCAATTGTCAAAAACTTTTTGGTGACCAAAAAAAGGGGGACTGACAACTATGTAATTTGTACATTGGTAACCAGAGCAAGCAAAGTTTATTTATATAGCACTTTTTACATCAGGTGTTGTCACAAAGCAGCTTTACAAAAAGAAATCCGGGTCCAAACCCCCATGAGCAAGCCAGTGGCGACAGTGGCAAGGAAAAACTCCCTAAGAGAAACAGGAAGAAACCTTGAGAGGAACCAAGACTCAGAAGGGGAACCCATCCTCCTCTGGTCGACACCGGATAGTAAACATTGTTAGTACAAAAACGGGGAAAACAGGTGGAGCAAATGATTAATTTGATTAGTTTCGTTTATGCAGCAGCAGCAGCGGCAGCAGCATCAGCATCAGTGGGGTCAGAATGTGAGGGTGAGGTTTGCACAGCGTTGTACAGTATGAAGCTCAATGGTGGTCAAGCCGGTCCAGAAGGCAGCAGTGGCAGAAGAGGCAGCAGCATCAGGCGCACAGAATGGGCAGCTGTTCAATTCGGCAAAGGAAAGAAAGGAAAAACACACAGAGTCAGTTCTGTAATGGGTGTCAGTTCTGTAATGGGTGACTGATCACAGATTATAGTGTTAGCAGAGCAGCAGAGACTCTGGCAGGTATAGAACTGACAGGGAAAACTAATTACCAAAGGCTTGACTATACAAGTAAGTTTTTAGCCTAGACTTAAAGACTGAGGCTGTGTCTCGAACATTAACAGGAAGACTATTCCAAAGCCGGGGGGCTTTGTATGAGAAGGCTCTGCCCCCTAATGTAAATTTATTAATTCTAGGTACTAATAGTAAGCCAGCACCTTGTGATCTAAGTAGGTGTGATGGTTCATAGTGAGAGAGAAGTTCACTCAGGTACTGAGGGGCGAGTCCGTTTAGGGCTTTATAAGTCAGTAAGACAATTTTATAATCAATGCGAAATTGGTAACTAGCGTAGATTGATAGAACTGGGCTGATATGGTCAAATTTTCTGGTTCTAGTAAGAACTCTGGCTGCAGCATTCTGGACTAGCTGAAGCTTGTTATGGCTTTTGCTCAAACATCCAGCCAGCAGGGCATTACAGTAATCTAGCCTTGAAGTAATAAATGCATGAACAGAGGTGCTCATACCTTTGAATTAATGCAGACGCTCGGCACTTTCATTTCAATTTGAGTGTTTAATTTCAAAAACATCATTACAGAAAAGATTACTATTTAAAAATTGGACTAAAGCTTGAGTGCAACTAGAGAGTGGCATAAGTTGTCTAGTTCAATGGAGAAAGGCTGTGCTCCTGTTCCAGTCTCAGGAATGCCTACAGAGGGAAACAAAGGAAAAGGAAAAGTTAGTCGATCAATGAAAACTTCAAACTGGAGGGCCATTTATAAAAGCATAGAAACTCATACCATATTTATGTTCACTAGCTTGTGTTGTATTAACATAGCCAGCGAGGCAGATGACATAACAGCCAAGCTCCTCCTCAAGGTCGAAAGACCGAAAAGTTGATAACCCAGAAGTCGGCTCATTGTCATAGAGAATCCACCTGTTCTTTGAGAGGTTAAAACACTTGAACATGTGAGTTCGTTGACCCAGCAGCAGAAACTGAAGCTTAAAGATCCTAAAAGACAGAAGACGACACAGGATGATCACAGAGGTAAAGCAATGCACTTCAGGCTATTTTTACTGTTTAGTTATTATTTTTGGTGAATTTGTGGAGTTGCCTTTGGTTGCCATCTTCAACAAACAGGGGTGGTTTAGGAAAGTTTAAGTGAACATCTCGATGCACCAGAATGAGAGCAGGATCATCCACATGGCCTAAAGCCTTCACATCCCCAAACGCTCGAAATTTACTGACAAGACAAATATGAGATTATGTGAAAGTGAGAAAGTATTATTTTCTCTTTTAGCAGTTCCGCTCAGTCATAGCACACCAATAAACCTTGGACCTGGCAGGTCATGTCAAGAAAAAAACTTTCATTTAATTCCTACGAATGATATCAAATAGTGCTTTAGATAGTTTTAGAATCAGACAAAGCTAAACTGGAGCAGACTTGCTCGTCCTTTTATGCATAATGAAAACACAGCTAATGATGAATATGTGGATGGGAAAGGCTGATATCACAATGAGAGCCAGAGGACATTTCACTACAAACTGCCAGCTGACTTAAAACTGTATAGACAGTGGCTTGACATCTGGAACAATGCATCATAAACATGATAATGGCTTTTATTAGGCTGTGTTCAAAATGCATGCATACACATCTCGTTACCTTTTTTCCAAATGATGTCAAATAATGCTTCAGATTTTGAGAGTTTAAATATAAAGACCTTTTACAGACGTGACCTGCCAGGCCTCTGGTGAGAAGCTCTGTTGTCGTTATTTTTTATATTCATTGCTTACCTCAGCGTTGTTTCATATACGGCATCGTCATTCGGGGTTTCTTGATGATGATCAACTTCAGCACATATCAGTTTAGCAAACACTGGAAAATGGTCTTGCACACAACTTTTACAGTCAATTATTTTATTTTTAGGAAACTGTATTAGCAGGCTTATCCAGAGAGCTTTAGCATCATCATAATTTTCTGTATCCAAAAAAGCCATAACTTTTCTGAGTGAGGGGTCTACCTCTAAGAGATATTTCACATTTGAATATTTAATATAACAAACGTGAAAAGCAGCAAGGAATGAGTCCAGGACACACGTGTTGGTAAACTGTTTAGATCTAAAATGACCACCAGCTTTTATGTAGACACCTCGATTTCTCAGCTTCAGCAATGCTAGTGGCTCTGAATCTGAATTAGAGTGAGATTTTATAAAAAATTACAACAGAGAGCTAAAAATATTGAACAATATTCATTTCTCTTTCAACGTAAGAACATGTTTGAACTTTTGCATTGTCTTTTCAAATGCAATATTGGAATCAACTATAATATGAAGATATTTGGTATTATAAAAATTGTAACTATAACCATGCAGTAAAGTTTTTATTGGGCATGAAAGTACAAACCTTCAGTGTTGAATGGTCTATATTGGTGCCACCATGTATAAAGAGAAGAGCTGTTAATCACAGAAAATCTTTGTAAGTCTGAGGTGATCATGTGATAAGTTACACACAGCTTCATGCTACCCATTCACAGATTACATCAATGTTGCATCAAGTACCCTGACTTTAAAATGATCAGGGTCCATCAGAACAGAAATGCTGTAGCTGTAGAATTATTGTTTTACATTTGATTATGTACAAATACCAACAAATGAAAAATGAAAAAGGAAGGTAAAGAACACAAAAAGAAAAGATATACAGCATGTATGTATGAAAAGCTCTTTCTAGACTGTTTCAGATCGACCAGTCCATGTTCTGATCATTACTTTATAGCCATTTCTATGAGGTAAATAGCTACAAATGTTAACTTTTACATAAACTAGATTGTAAACACATTTCTGCCTAGACCTGCCCTAACATATTTTTACCCTTCAGGTTAGTCCTAGTTTACTGACTGAAGTACAGGAGCTCTGTTATGTAACAAACCAATTCAAACAGCGCGCCAACACGGCAGTAAAAGGTTTTCTATGCATTGTCACAGAGAATAACTGACAGTTTCTCATTAGTTGATCAAAACAAGAAAAAGAGAAGCATTTTAAACAGAGAGTGATTGTTCTGTACCTGCTGTTTTCCATTTCAAGTTTTTTATTTACTAAACGACAAGGGTCAAAGTGAACTTGTTTGCCAGCTGAATCAAATTCCAGCTAAGGAAGTGAATCTGATGACGTGAATTTTGTCTCCATCAGCTAATCCAATCAGAGGCAGCTGTTTTGGCGCCATAAAGCTTCTTTGCCAATAAGCCAAAATCTGACATATTATTACAAAGATTCTTTAATTTATTCTGAAGTTATTTCTAGTGGAGGTGAGCAGTTTTTTTTCTATTTGAACTTTATAAACATTGCCATGTTAATATGAATTATTTTTATTAATGATCTTTGAATTCATGCTAAAATTACAAAAAAACATGGGTACAAAAAAGAACCTGCACTGAAAAGTACTGTATTGTACCTCAACAGGGTGCAGCCCCAGTGTCAAGCCTTTGTACTCTCTTAAGTACCTAATTTTCTTAGTGTGCAGCCTGTTACTAGGTTTGTCTCTGGTGTTGGGAAGAAAAAAAAATGAAAATCAATTGATAACAGTCCAGTTTAGTTAAGGGTAAGGCTTTTGCCTAAAAAGATTGCAAGGTCTAGATTAGACAGAAAAGTGACAGGAAATAGAGCAGAATGTAAGTTTTAATTTACCTTATGTTTGTCATTGTTGATATTAATTTTCCACCTTCCTTCCTGCTCCAGACTGTCTCAGTTTCCTTTTTATAGTTACATTGAAGTTTAGTATTAACAATTTTTAATTTAATCTTTGCACTTTCAACCACCAATCATTTTCACAATCCACATGGCGTTGCATTGAAGTTAATATTAACTAGACCATAATATAGATTTACTTCAAGGAAACTTCCTGTAGACTCTTAAAAACCTGGCACTTTTCCACAGATGAACAAGAAGGTAAGTGTACTGGAACTTTGGAACTGGAATACTGTACATGGCACAGGAAGTAAGGTAAGAATTGGTACGTTTGTTGTCACATTGTCTATATTGTGGTGATGAAATGAATGACTGCATTCACCATGTCATTTTGTTCACCCTCCTCCATATTTTGCATAATCATTCATGACATAAGTTCTAAGAAAGACTTTCCTTAAAACAGAGATAGAAAAGAAATAATAATCATTTTAAAATCCTTAATGTAATGCAGATACAGGCCTGTCATTTGAGCAGATTGTAAATTCCACATAAGCTTCTTGTTTTCTTCGTAAATATAGGTAATATAGAGAAGAGAAAATTGCATCTATAATATAGTAATTATACTGTAATTACACTGAAAAACATAGTGTTGTGCTAATTGATGGTAAATTAACCAAGACATCATGTAAACTGTACAAGTAGGAAATGATTCATTCTTGAAAAGAAAATGTTATTCACTTACATTTATTTACCCTGTTTATATTGGTGTTCAGGTGTTAAGATGTTAACCATGTGTTAATGTAAAATGAAAGCATTTTATTATAAAGTGAATCTCACAAAGTCAGACACTCAATGTTTTAATATTATGGTCATTCTTTGTTTTATATATTGCAAAATACTTCAATGCATGCAGTATGTAGAGCAATGTTCCATTCAATAAAGTATTCAGATTTCAAAATATCTAAGTATTATTATTGTTGATTACATTAGTTTTCATGCTTACAAATTATAATTCTAATTATCCGACATTATATAAATAATCTCATTAGTTCATCAAGAGTAATGATTTAAATATTTAATGCAATATGTAGAAAACAGGCAGCGTAAAAAAAGCGTAAAGTTGATAAATGTGACATGTTAAATTGCTTTGCGTAATGACTGAACTTAAGCTTTAGAAAACCATGAATGTATGATATAATGGATATTGGTTAAAGGTATACTTAAGAAATGCTAGTAATGATATCATTTGCAATGTACTGGAGGTGGAGGTGGTGTTATTGCACGAGCATGTATGGCTGCCAATGGAACAAAGTCCATTTTTTATCTTCACTGCATCTTTTTATTGATAAAGTAACTGCTAACAAAAGCAGCACAATGAATTCAGAAGTGTGTGGGTGCAGATTCAGCCAAATGCTTCTAAAGTATGGACACAGAACACCACAAAATAAGCCAAGACTTTAAGGCAAAGAAAATGTTCTGCCAATAGCAAGTCACTCACCTGACCTTAAACCAATTGAACATGCATTTTGCTTACTGAAGGCAAAACCAGAGGGAGAACACCCAAAAATCTAGCAGGAACAGAAGACTGCAGTGAAGACCTGGTGGAGCATCACCCAGTATTTGGAGATGTCTGTGGCTTCCAGACAGCAAAGGATTTGCAATATGACAATTTAATTAAATTTATAATCGTTAGTTTGTCCATGTAATGTTACTTTGTTTGGTGGCTATTTATAAAAATGGTTGTAATTCCCACAACATGTACTATCACACCTGTCCAGCAGGTGGTGCCAAAGCATTAGCACTATGAGGGAAACATCCACACCTTCCTTTGAACCCTGGGCTCATCAGCTAATGTGGTTCAGCTGAGTCTCATCTCACTGGCTTTGTAAGTCACCAGAATCCTAGGAACTCTGTTTAGTCATGCAGTCTCCTGTGTGCTGGAGCATTTGTAAGATTCCTGCTATGCTCTCTGTAAGTTTGTCTGTTTTCCCTGTGGAATTGTGTTTGCCTTTCCAGGACACTGTACTTTGTTTCTTTATGTTTTTATATGCTTAGGGTTTTGTTCTGTCACCGCTTGAGGAAGTAAAACCACTTCAGACATCAGTACCGCCACTGTGTATTGGTCTATATTATACATATATATATCTATATAATACAGCAACATGGAGACACTTTGTCTTTTCTTTCTGTTATTATGCTTATAAACTGTGAACATGAATTCCACCTTTGATTAGACAGTCAAGCTCAGCACTCACGTTTAAAGAACATTGGAAAATGAATCTGTTTAACTAGTGCTCAATTAAAATTCTATGTCTCTTTGGTGTTTATCATTTTAATATGATGAGTTATGCTTTATATGATTTTCAATGAATACTCATAGTATCTATTACTGTCTTATCACCCAGCACTTTGAGGTGCCACTGTATATGCCACTACAAATAAACTTATCATTATTATGACGCTGTAGCTACTTATTGTTCTCTTTGGCATCACATGGTACATGATGCCAAACCTGATTTCAGATTTACATAAAGCAAAACAGCTCATAAGCATTATGTTTATGACTGTTACACCCTGTCTAGGGTTTTTACAATGGTTAATAACATATAGAAGACAAAAGAGAGCCATTGAGCGTTTAAACAGATCAAGTTGTGTTATTTTCTTTACTTTTCCTGCTGCCAACACACAAACTTCAGAGTGGGCATGTGCCAAAACAACAAACATAACCAGTCTAGCTAGGTTTAGAGAACTAACTTACCTACACCAAAAATAAAGAAACTAAAATACATTGTCTTTTCTGACTCCCTGACTAGGCCTGAAACAAGAGAAAACATTGGGTCAAAGGAAACGGCACCCACTCCTACACCCTGACATAAGAGAGGGAAAGTTACAGAGATTGTTCATGAGCTCACTTTTCAATAGTGGAAGTAAACTTAGCAGAAGACATAGGCCCAATTCCATTTCACCCCTTGCCCCGACCACTTAGCCCTTAGCCCTCTGTTTTGCGTGTTCATGAATAGGGGTAAGGTGTCCCAATGTTAGTTGAGATAGGGGGTAGGGTGAAGTGTTGGGCCAACATGGCCCTTCAAATGGAGGTTTTTCAGAGGCACACAAAAAAGAAAAAAAATCCAGCAGATGGCTGCGCAAGCGACCAAAGAAACCCACAAATGTATTTTCTCCATTAAAAATTACAATAACCACTGTATTATCTCAGTTTAATGTCTTTTCAATGTATTATAGTCACTTTCTTCATAACAAGAATAAAAAATCGCTAATAGCATGCTAATGTCTTGGTAGCTAGCTAGCTAACTTTCCTGTTCCACCTTAAACAGTCCAGCAGTTCTTACGCCTGAAGAGCCAGAATGTCACTGCTGCACCATTTAAGGTGGAACAGGAAATCAAGAAGCTGGTGAATAATTTCAGCTTCGTATCACTAAAGAATTAGGGGTAGGTGATAATAAATAATTGTCTTATCCGTAAGGTTGCTGAACTTTACCCTTCTCTGCTATTAATCCAGACTGGCAGGGTCGCCTACAGAGCACAGCTAGTAGCCTGTTAATTAAGTAATTTAATGAAGCGTTTTTTTGTTTTTTGTTTTTTTTTAGGGTTGTCCATTTGGTTAGGCTGACACTCAAAAACAAGGAGTAGGGGTAAAAAGAAGAAATGGAATTGGGCCATAATTAGAGCTAAGCTAATACATTGAGAAAGAGACAATACACCAACTATAAAGCAAACATCTATCTGAGCTACGGTTCTAAACTACTAGGTTTGCCCCAAGCCGCCTTGGAGGTACGCCTAGAGGACTTCGGAACAGGCCATGGAAGAAATACCCCATGCACTCGTAGCCAGCCAATCAGATGAACTTTTGGTCAAAGGACTGCAGCCAATCACATGCACGGGTGGGCAGTTTCCTAATCAGTGAGAAAGAGAGATGGACAGAGAGAGAAAAATAAATCAAACAAAAACATACATCCCGGGGACGCAACAATTCATTGTAATTATGTAACTGTACCTTTGGCTAATGTGAACAATCACATTCTCCGGTTCCTGTCACCTACTGGACTCCAATTCCACACTGACGCTCCAGGTCGTAACCCCTCTTCAGCCACTGGAACACCAACTGAAACAACCAAGACATGAGACATTCTGAGCTTTTAATCTACTCGGAATCTCAGAATTGGAATAATGATAAGATTTTACTGTCAGAGTAAAATGAGCTCCATATACATTGATCTCAGTGTACAGATAATTTTAAACTCTCGGTGAAAAGTTATGAAAACTGTAAATCCATTATGTTACCACAGTTCCAGCACTAACATACCATTACTGTGTCCAGGTTGGATAACGTTGACATAGCCAGCCAGGTGAACGGGATAATCCTTTTTAAAATATGCAGCATTAAAGTCGATGTCTGGTGCTACACTCGGGTTATTGTCATACAGGACCCATCTATCCACCAGGTTGCAGCACACAACCATGTGCTTTGTTTGTTCTCTCCTCTTCCACAGAAGCAAAAACTGCAGCTCAAATGTTCTGAGAATGATATGATATGATACACATTTCTATGGCATTTTTAACAGAGGTCAAATTTTAAACACTTGATGAAAGGTAAAAAGAAAAACATTTTGTATTAATGCTTTTCACTTCCTCATTTACCTGCCATATTTGTCTTTAATAAGTGGGGGAGCTGTGTCCATTAGGCCATCTATGTTTACAAGTATGAGGCAGGGGTCTCCATATTTACCCAAAGTCATTACTTCTCCATAGGGCTGGAATTCCCTAAGAATCAACATAGTGTTTATTACAAATATATTACACATTTATTAGTTCTTATATTAGACATTATATTTGTTTACATAAAGATTGTAAGAGACAGCAAACATGATGCATAAGAAATGTTCACCGTAAAATGCTTTCTTGTAAACGATCAGCAGCTCCATGAATGGCTCCGCTTTCAGAAAAATGGTCTCTGGAACAAACCAGCTCTTGAAGCATTGGCAAATGGTCCTTTACTTCACTCCAAACATTAATTACCTTTTGGAAATTAATTTGGAATTTACAGTCTTCAGACATGAGATTTAACCTAACCAGCCAAAGAACTTTGGCTTCATTATATTTTTTTGCATCTAAAAATATCATTATTGCATTCATTATAGAGTCAGATTGGAAAAGTAGTTTAATTTTTTCAAATTTAGTATAACAAAGATGAAAGCCAACTAGGAGTGAGTCAAGAACACATGTGTTTTCTGCTTTATATAGATCATAGTGACCACCGGCTTTTATATAGCTCTTCCAGTCTTCCATCATGAGTTTCTTCAAGTCAGGAAAACATCTGCAGAGATGAAGACAAACATATGAGATGACTTGTAGGTCTGTTATCTTGCTTTTAGTATTAAAACACGGCCCATATTGAGTGGCCAAATTTGTAAGTCACTCTTCACACTAAAGATTGCCACATATATAACATATTTATGAAATTATTAGACCACAATTACAAATTTACATTATCTTACACAGTGTCAACTTACATAATATTTGTTCCTTGGACTTCTTCAGCACCTGATAGCAAATACAGACAGACGTAGACACAAACACACATGTTAAAGCCCGGTGGAAACATTTGGAACAAATATAATGTCAGCTCCATGGTGAAGTAATCACCCAACTTTACCTTTAAGCAGACATTCACGTATGAGCAGTAACTCATCACGTTTGCTCTTAAATTTGGTGCTGGAAATTAGATAAACAACATTAGAAAAATGTTATTTCTAACAATATTTCCACTGTCCTTTTACACGCTACTGAAATATACAGTAAGGAGCTACAGATGTTAAGTATTACATAACCTGGATTGTAAACACAGACTTGCCCTAACAAATTTTACCCTTCACTTTCACTTTTTTTTTCAATGTTACCCTTCAGGGCTTCCCTAAATGTTACATGGAACATAAATTTTTTTTTGTTCTATAATTGATAGTATCTGTATTCGTAAACTATTTCTCATAACCCACCCCTCCACCACTACGTCCCAGGCCTGGTATAATCACAGTCGGTGACAACTTGATAGTAGGCCTTAATAGCCTTCATGACATGAAATACAGGACTAGATATAAAAGAAAACAACACAGATCTGCCCAGACCTGTCCTTCGTCTCATATATTTACCCTTCAAGCTAGATCTACATCATTTACTAAAATACAAGAGCATTGTTATATAACTTATATGACAATGACTAAGCTAATCACGCAAGGCATTTTCCTAATACTGCGGTCCCCAGCATGGTTTTAAAGTTAATCACTTCCATGTATTGTCTCAGAAAATAGATTCTAATTTATATAAACCCTTCATATATCATCCACAATACAAAAACAAATGAGAAATATTTTCAGTCCTTTACCTGTTATTGCCCATTTCACGCTGTGTATCTAGTCTTGTCTGAAAAGGTAGAAGGAGGAAGCCTTTCTAGACTGAGAAGGAAGTACTGATGACACTGAAATAGGCCCATCCCATCACAGTACGGGAGAAAAGTAGTTAAAAAAGGCAGGTTTCCTTATTGAAATACAAGAAGTTAGTTCTCTATGTGGATGGGGAAAAGTCATGCTACCAGCTTGATTTGATACTTTGTCAAAATCATCTAGACAACAAGTCTTCTATCTTTCAGTTCCCTCAAAAGAAAATAGTTGAAAATAGTCTGCTTTGATTTCTGAGAGACTACATTTCATTTGCTTCCAGAATTTGCTGATTTTTCATGGTATTCCATCTACCCATACAATGTGTCCTGTGCCACTGGCTGCCACACAAGCCCAGAAAATAACAGATCTATGCTTGACAGTTGGCAAGGTGTTCTTTTCATCAAATGCTGATCCTTTTTTCTTTAAACATACTTTTGGTGGTTGTGACCAAAAAGATCCATTTTATTACAATCCACCGCATTTGTTATCAAAATGCTCATTGATCTTTATCTGGATGTTGTTTTCAGTGCAGAAGTTGCTTTTTGTGATGAGGTTGCATGTGAGGTTTCAAACTGATGATTCTTCCCTGTAGATGAGTTTTGTTCAAGCAGCCCCCAAATCAAATCTGCACCACCAATCCTGTGATAAGCTAAATCTTCCTGCTAGCCCTTGCTGTCATTTGCTTTGCATTTCAGGCCAGCATATAGGTAGTTCTATCTGAATATTTTCGTGTTCCTCCAGATCTGGTGTCTTTGTGGTTTCACAGTTCCCCTTAACTGCTATTTCTTAATGACAATTTGGACATTAGAGCACAAAGCATTTTGATAACTTTGTAAAGTCTTCTCTTGCTTTGTAGGCATCTATTAGCTTCATTTCTCAGATCCCAGCTGCTTACATGAACCTATGGTTGTTGAGTATTAGCACAAGATTTAAAGAATCAGAATTCATTATGCTCAGCAATTTCCAGCAGCTGACAATTCCTACTGACAATCTTAACTAGTAATTAAATTCTATGTCTTTACAACTAGAAAGGTGTCTTGTGCCAACAGGTTATCTATTAAAGCCCACCTGCCTTTGCCATCTTTCAAAGGTGCTGAGTTACAAGTTGCCATGCATGACAACAAAAATCTAAAACAATACATTTTTTCACAATACTTTTAAACATTTCAAATCATACACAATGCACCTAATTAATTCCACAATTCATATCCTACACAGCACTGCACTGACATTTACAATGTCCATGTTCAATATACTTATTGCTTCAGGTGACTAGCAGGGTTTTTACATGATTTTGATTGATACCAACTTGAGTGTTTCCTCATGCAATTTTATTTGTAGTGATTGTTTAATTTCAATAACAATATTCTAGAGTACAGAGAAGATGTTTCACTGTTCTAATACTGCATATAATGAAAGTATATTATTGCTTCATGTTTCATATGATACATTCACTTATATGGATATAGACTGGTTCAAGTGCTTTGATTATACAATAATACCTTAAATACAGCTACAATCAAAGTTAACAAGTAATGATAAAACAAGGGAACTTTTTAAAGAGGAACTTCACAAAAAAATCTGCAGCCCACTCCAACTGCTGGTTGCTACACCTGGGCTATACTTCATCAAAACATTAAAATGCAAAAATAAGGTTAATGTAAAAAAACATGCATTTGTCAGTTATCTTTGTGAAACACCATAACAAGTGATGCATAGTGGCAAATATTATAATGCTTTTTTGCATGAAATGGTGCACCACAGATTGAATTGTCATTGGTGCCCCCAGCTTACATTCTGTTCATAAAGAGAGACATGCATGCATTCGATTTGATCACATGGTATTTAAAGCTTATTCTGAGGTCAGAGCTTAGCCCAATAGTGTAGTTATTCAGAGGTGCCACAGGATAGATCTCCCAATTTCATCAGTACATCATCCACAGACTCTTCAGGAATATTTCGCTGCCCTGATGAATCTGAGTCGAAAGCCTGTGCTCCTGTTCTAGTCTCGGGAATGCCTACAAATAAAGGAAAAGCAAGCCAATGTATATGGAGGAAACCACAAACCAAAGTGCCATTAAAAAGCATTAGAACTCATACCATGTTTATGTTCTTCAGCTTGGGTTGTGTTGACATAGCCAGCTAGGCAGATCATATAACGGTCGAGTTCATCTTCAAACTTGAAACGCCGAAAAGACCTGCAAGCCGGATCGTCATCATAGAGAATCCAGATGTTCTTTGAGAAGTTGAAACACATGACCATGTGAGTTCCTTCACCCAGCAGCAGAAACTGAAGCTCAAAGATCCTAAAACAAAGAGGACAATGGTTGTGGTACGTGGATAATCACAGAGGTCAACTAATGTACTTCAGGGTGTTACAGGTCTCCTATGTTCCCTCCTGCAATTGTTATGGGTTTCCCTGTACTCTGTGTGTGTCTGTGTATTTCTCTGTCCTCCCTGTCTCTAGGTGGAGCTCTATTCAGGCTGAAGGCTAGTGTGTGCAGTGAGAGAAGCATTTCCTGGAGAATACCCTAAAAGAGGTGGGAAAATGAAGAGAAGAGGGGGGGACCAACCTTGTTGTTGTTTTTTTTTTTGTGCCCTGTGTGTGTTTTGAGTCTTCTTTGGCAAATGTGTGCTGTGTAAAGTGTTTATAGAAAAACAACTATGCAACGCACCATTTTGGTAAGTGCCATTTTGTTTGTAGACTCCTTCGTTTCTCCTGGTTTTAGGTTAGTTAGTGTTGGGTTTGTTTGTTATTTTGGCCTTTGCTTACCCCTGGAGAGATAGCAGATCGGTTGACTCTTCGCTAACAGTTATTGCCTGTATCAATTCTATCTTTGTTCTAAATACATGTAAATAGTCTGACCATTGTGTGATGTGGGTTTCTTTTTGTCCCTTCACTTGCCCCCAGATTCATTACACCCTAGACCAACCTGTAACAATTGGGGGGGCGTCCTAACTTTTTGCTCTTCTTGCCTTTTTCTTTTTTTTGTGGGGGCAGGTGTGGTGTGATCATGGAGTTTAATTCGGTGGAGGCGTTGAGTAAGTGCAGGAAGGCTGAGTTGTTGATGGTAGCAGGGTTTTACAATGTGTCAGTGTCTCGCTCTGCTAGGAAGGCTGAAACGAGAGATACATTAATCAACAGATTACGTGAAGACCAGCAGTTGCCAGTGTCCACTGATACAGGGGGTGCTGCTGTGTTGCATGGGGTGAGGGATGCTGGTGTTGCCACAGGTGGCCCTGGTGTTTCCTCAGGGGTGGAGGCTGCTGAGCATTCCCCAGGAACACCAGGCATAGATCCAGTTACTCCTCCACCTGTTGAGAGCCTTCTCACTGATTTGAGTATGGCAATAAAGTAGAAAGAATTGGATCTCGCTATTAAGCAGCAGGAGCAAGAGACACACGAACTGGAGGTATTTACCCTTCCTCAACCCTACTACTGTGTTCCTACCACCCTATTTAGTCTGACTAAGAAATTATCACTGAAACTATTGTGACACTGTGCCATGAGAGACTATGCATGATCTTGATTTCATTAATGACACCAGTCTTGCTTCTGTATCATTTTGTCCATTTGTCCATTTCTTGCTTCTGTATCATTTTGTCCATTTATGAGTACTGTAAAAAAAAAAAAGTACTTTATTGACATCTCCACCTCATTTTTTACCATCAGCCTCTTGTTACTCTTATTTTGTAGGCAGTGCAGTCTGGATGCAAACATTTAGTATTTTGTCGGTGTTTACACAAGAATAAAAGAGCGCCCTTCATTTGGTGACAGTGCGGTAGTGATTGACCAACTTTGTGTGTTGTGATGTATGTGGCTAATGATTTGAGTGTTTTAGGTCCTTTTGCACAGGTAATACATTGTTTTGGGAATTTCATTTAGAGAGCTAAGAATGAGATCAGAAATGAGATTAGATAAGAAATGCAACTAAGCAAATGAGAAAAGGTACATTGTACAGCCCTGTTAAAGAAGTTTCTTTCTTGCAAGCTCAGAACTATTACTTGATCAGACCTTTATTTTGCAAGACTAATTAATATTAGACACTTATTATACATTTATTTTTTTCTTCATTGATTTATTATTGTAATTTATAGACATAGTGTTGAATGAAGTCTATGGCAATTGTTATTTCCTATCACATCTGACAGCAGACAAAACACAGACATATAAAACAGACATAAAAACTGTAATGTGTTTGAAATATACATGTAGTTGTACTTGACTGATACCTTCCTCAAGTCTAAAGAGGAGTTGCTTTCACCTTATTCACCCTTACTCAAGCCTACTGAGTATTGCCTACCAACCTATTTACCCGTTCTCATCCATACCGAGTTCTCACCACCTTACTCACCCTTTTTCATTCTTACTACTGAAGAGTTTCTACTACTCTATATATCCTTCCTCAACCCTACTGAGGAGTTTCTACTACCCAATTTATCCTCCTTAACCCTACTGAGGTGTTCCTACCACTATGCTTATCTTTCCTCAACCCTACTGAGGAGTTTGTAGTACACTGTTTATCCTTTCTCAATACTACTGAGGTGTTCCTACCACCATATTTATCTTTGCTCAACTGTACAGAGGGGGTTCTACCACCCTATTTATCCTTCCTCAGCCCTATTAAGGATTTTCTGCCACCCTATTTTGCATTTATTTTGTCAGTGTGTACACCTGGATAAAAGAGTGCCCTTCCTTTAGTGACAGTGTTGTAGAGATTGATGATTGACCAGCTTTGTGTGTTGATGTAGGTGGCTTATGATTTGAGTGTTTTAGGTCGTTTTGCACAGGTGACACATTGAGTGCATTTACATAAATCCAATAACTGTAGAAAATCAGATTTTGACAAATCACATTTAATCCGATCAACATGTTTACATGCTCTTGAGTAATTAGATAATGGGAAACTCTGGGTCTACATGAGTCAAGCAGTTATTAGATTTCTACTTTGCAACCAACCAATAAACTTACAGAAGAAGATGTGATGTAAACGTAACATAAAACT